TATATATATATATTAAAAATTTACAACTCAATAATATAAATAAATAAATTGATTGATTAATTATCGATTAAACGCCTCACTTTTAAATAATAATAATAATAAAAAAAAAATTGTATATTATATATATATGTGAAAAAGGGCCGATTGTAATTATTATTATTATTATTATTATTATTATTTTTAATTAATTAATAAATATATATATATATTTACATTTTTTTACATGATTAAAATTATGTATTAATATATTGGTAATAATAATAATAATAATAATAATAATTAAATGTATATTAATAATTGATTTTTTAATAATCGAGTTTACTATTAATAATAATAATAATTATCCTTGTAAATTTTTTTTTTTGGGAAATGTGTATAAGGAAGAGAGGAATATTATTTTGATAGTAGGTGACATTAGCAATGAAATATTATTATTATTATTATCGTTAAGTAATTTTATATTTAATTATTTATATATATATATATATATATATATATATATATATATATATATATATATATAAATAAAGAGAAATGAAATGATTATGAGAGAACAAAAGATGTACACACACATTAAAAAAATGATTCTTTTTCTTTTTATTTATTTTAATTATTTTAATTATTATTATTATGTGAGCACTAAAAAGAAGAAGAAGAAGAAGGGGAAGGGGAAAAAGGGGAAGTATGTAAATGTTCTCTCTGCTTTGCAACAAACAAGAAAAAAATAATTTTTTTTTTTTTTTTTTTTTTAATTTGTATCACTTATTAAAGACTGTTAGAATTAGTTGTAAGTTTTATTTTAATATTTTTTTTTTTTCAAATCAAACATCACAAGAATAAAATTAAAAATATTATAATTAATTATTAATTATATATATTAAGTAAATATTATTATTATTATTATTATTATTATTATTATTATTATTATTATTCTATTATTATTATTATTATTATTATGGTAATAATTGGTTTGAACAACGAATCTATTATCGTTCTTTTGTTAAGAAAAAAAAAAAAAAAAAAAAAAAGGAAACGAAAACAAAACGGAAAATAAACCGTTTTTTTATATATATTATATTATTATTATTATTATTATTATTATTATTATTATTATTATTATCATTATCATTATTTTATTTTAAAATGGAGGAAAAAATAAAATAAAATAAAATTTGTATTTAATATTTTTTTTGTGTAATCGATCGATGGCAGGAAATGTATTTATTTTTTATTTTTTTTTTTTTAATTTTTGAAATTGTCATCGAGTCGATTTATTATTATTATTATTATTATTATCATTATTATTATTATTTTGTTAAATAAATTTATAAAAAAAAGAAAATGAAATAAAATTTATAAATAAATAAATAAAAAAAACTCGAATCGAGTGCCAAAAAATTACAAAAAAAAATAAATAAATAAATAGCCTTTGTACTATTATTATTATTATTTTTAATTATTATTATTATTATTATTATTATTATTATTATTATTATCCTAAATTTTATTATTATTATTATTAATTTTTTGTTTTTTTTTCTGGATAATTTTCCGAACGTTTTCTTTTTTTCAGATTCGTTACAAATTAAAAATTGGAATTTTTTGGAATTTATTAATGAAGAGATTTAATGTAATTGTCAAATATCAGGTATTGTCGTTAAAAGATTTTCGATTCGATAAATAAATATTAAAAATATATCGATTATTATATCGATTTATATCGATTTATATCGATATATATCGAATTTTTTTTACGTTACGGTATGGATACATTAGTACTTAATCCCGATTCGAATTTTGTTTTTTACGCGGGTTTAAGATTAATGAAATATTTTTAAAAGTGCGACAAATTTCGTACGACTACAAATTTCCCCGTTATCTTCAAGGCTAACTCGTTGGAATTAAATTTTTTTTTTTTTTTTTAATATTAAAAATGAGTTTTTGCGTTCGTAATATTTTTCGCAATCTGAATGGTTTGATCGTAAGAATGAGGTAAATTGTTTTTATTGAAATTTTATTATTTAATTGATTCCATTTTTCTTTTCCAATTTTTTTTACTTGCAGTCCTAAAGCAGGGCTCCATCTTTTCACATATATTAAAATTATAGTAATAAAAATGTTTTAATATTAAATATTTCATTTTAAATTTTTTAAGATAAAATTTGTGGCGTTTTAAATTATGTAGGTCAGAAAATTATTTTTTTTAATAAGGTCTGATTCGACAGAGTTATTTTTTTTACTTTAGCTTTATTAGATCATCAAGTTCTTTAGGAGAACCTGGTAGTGGTGCTGGAAAAGGAGGTGGTGGTGGTGGTACCATAAGAGAAGCTGGTGGTTCATTTGGTAAAAGAGAAGCTGCACTAGAAGATGAATATTTTTATCGACAACAAAAGGAACAACTTGCCAAATTAAAGGATAGCATTTCTGATGAGATTAGCTTTCATCAAGAACAAATTGCTCGCCATCAAGAAGCTATCGAAAGAAACAGAAAAAGAGTCGAAGAACTTTCTAAACACGAATAATAATAAGCACTTAATACTTATGATTTAAATCATAGTAATTTAGTATATTTTCAATCATATTTTAGTTTTATAGTTTAGCATTATAAGTTTATTGTAACTATTTTTTTTTAAACACAATCATTATGTCTTTTTTTTTCTTATGTATAATTTAAAATGAAATTTATTTTGTTTATTTTTAAAAAAATATACACCATTTACATTACTTAATTAAATTTTTTAGTGGTTTTTTTTTACTTTAAATAAATTAGGTTACCTTATTAAATAGGTAATTTTTAATATTTAAAACTAAAAAGTTTTTTTTTTAATATTGGATTGTATTTTGGTAATCTAACATTCATTAATTCAGGAGTTTTATTAATTTTAATTTTTTCATACATTTTTATTCATATGTTAATCTTCTATGTATTTGTCTGTGCTTATCAAAAATCAAAAAATTCATATTTAATACAAGTAAATGTATGTGGTAAAGTGCGGAAATTAAATTATTTGTAATTATTAAATAATTTCATAAGTTTTAAAATTAATATAATGAATAGATAAAGGTAAAAAAAAAAAAAGATTAAAAAGTACGGGCTACATATAATGTAAATTATAGAACGGTTTTAAAAAAGTCATAGAGTAATATATAAGCATTTATTAAAGTGGAGGGAAAATTAACATTCACCGCCTTGTATTGTTCGTCAATTCGTCACTTTTCTTACCTGACCAACGCCATTTATATTATGCACTTAATGGTATTTTCGATGAATAGTTCTTTCTATTAATTTTCTTAGTGATAGAGTAGAAATTTAGTGCCAGAATTATCGGTGAGTAATATTTAACTGTTGGGTTACATTTTAACATTTATCTTTTTAATAAAAACGGGCAAGTAAATTTAGGCGGGTTAGCATTGTATAGGTGTCATGCTTTGGTTTTTCATTAAATTCTATTATTTAAAAGTATTTTCTTACATTTCCAATTAAAGTATGACGATTTTAATTGTTCTCTTAATTTTAACTTGTGATTTTTTTTCATATTTTTGAAAATTTAATCATATTTGAAATATTTGTTCAGCATTTTACGGTTTACTACTTTGTTAGGCTGTTACGTACCGTTTTTATAGAGCATTTAAATGTTCTTTATAAACGTTCATTTGATTTAGTGCAGCATTTTTTTGTTGAATTTGAGTTATTAACGTTCATTTTAATTATTAAAATTTGAAATTTTTTATAAGTAAGGTTACTACCTTACTTAGTTTAATAAACACTTTATAAAATATAATTCAATGTAAGCTTTATATTTACTTGCCCGTTCAAAGAATGAATGCAAATTACTATATATATATCATTAAGATTTTATATTTGGTTTTTTTAAAAATGCCTTATTTTTTAAATAATTTTTACAGGTGATTAATTTAAGATTATTTTATTTTTATTATTTATATATTTATATTTGTAATTAATTTGTGAAACCGTTTAAATTTTATTATTTTATTTTGTATGTTATCTGGTTTGATTATTATTTAGCATTTACTATATCACAATGGCTATCGGTAAAATTCATTTTAATGAAATAATTTATTTATCTGTTTGAAATTGCATCATTTAAAATATTGTTTAGATAATGTATAATATAATCATAAAAGTATGCATGAATCATGGTTAAAGCTATCATTTTTAGCTTGTCGTTGAAGAATTTTCATTTTAGAAATGTTTCCCATTCGAAAGTTATTCACCGACTGTGTTTAAAAAAATATTAGGAAGTTGTATGTGTGTTACTAATTCTGTTTCGATATTATCAAAATTAAATTTTAGGTTCAATCGTTTGTTATACATTTACTAAAGACCAGCATAAAATTAGATGTATTTACATACAAATTTTTTTTTTTTTTTTGTGAGAGTGCAAAACAATTGATTCGATTTAGAAATGAAAAAGTAAATTAAATATGAGGAAGTATTGGGTTAAAAGTTGTTGTCGTTGTTGTTGTTATAATAAAAAATAATTTATTTATAAAAAATTAAGTTTAAATAATGGTGGAAATATCCCAATTTTTTTTTTTTTTAGTTTGTAAATATTTTGTAAAAAAAAAATGAGGACAGAAAAAAATTTCAAAAATATATTTTGTTTATCGTAGGGCTTCTTTTAAAATCAATAAATAGTTTGGGTTTCTCTCTCTCTCTCTCTCTCTTTTAAATTTAAAAAAAATAACATACGTGCTGAGTTATAAGGATATGGGATGACAAGTTCGAAAAGGAAAAATCATTCCCCAATTGGAAAATTTCTGTTAAAGGGTAAAGAATGATTGATTGATTGATTCGGTAAATAAAACAATCGATGAATTTAATTAATTGACGAGGGTCGAGAGGCAAAAGAAAATTATGTATATATATATATATATATAAATTCGTATAATTTTATTTATTTATTTAAATAAATTAAAAAAAGAAATTATTATTATTATTATTATTATTTTACTAAGATTTTATTCGTCGTCGTCGTCGTAACATAAAACTTGTATGATAGATTTAAAATAAAATAAAATAAAAAAAACAATAATAATAATAATAATAATGTCTGACAAGTAATTTAAAAATACAATGGATAGAAAAAGAAACAAACTATGTATTGTGAGCGTAATAAGTTTTAAGTAATTTCCCCCTCCCTCACCATTCCCTTTCCTCTCCCCCTTTTCCCCCCGTCCCACGATAATTAAAAACGAAAATAATAATAATAATAATAATAATAACAATTCATAAAGTTTAGTTTTTAGAAAAAAAAAAAAAATTTCAAATTAATTTTTTTTTTTTCTTTTTAATGTCTTTTTTTTTCTTCTTCTTTCATTCCTAGTAGAAAAAAAAAAAATGTCGCAATTAACAAATCATTAAATTTTTAAATTGTTTGTTAAACAAAATTTTTGTGGTGGGGGAAGGGGGGGGGGAAACAAGAAAAAAAAATAACAAACAATAATAGTCGTCGTCATCGTTGTTGTTGTTGTTTTTACATTTGTCTCATATATTATATTTTTTAAATTATTTAATAATAAAAAAGTAAAAAAAAAAAAAAAAAAAATCTATGATATATATATATATACGTATAAATTTGACAATTTTCTAAATAATAATAATAATAATAATAATAATAATAATAATCGAAAACGAAATTTTTTTACTGATCGGTTTCGATGTGAAAATACTGGTAATAAAAGTTGAAGAATGCATTGTCGTCTTAAGGCACCAAAGATTTTCTTTCGTCTTTAGATTTTTCCGGGTCCCTCAAACAAACCATCATCATTTATCGAGTCCGTTTTGTTTTATGGGTTCTGAAAAGAAAAGCGAAAACACAAATCGTAAAACTTCCTCTAAAGAGAGAGAGAGAGAGAGAGAAAATCGATGGAAAGGTGGGGGGGAGGGAAAAATAATTAATTACCCGTTAAATCGCAAATATCCTTGTCCGAACATTGCAATTCTTTTCCGTAAGTGTTTAAAAGTTCCATAATGACTCCGTTCGTCCAACCGAATCCAGCCTGTACGATGTATTCCCCTCCGCTCCCGTACCTGCCGGGATTTTCAGCGTCGTACTGAAAAAAAAAAAAAAATTTTTTCGTATTAAAATTCGTTTTACGTGTGTAGTCTTAGCCGAGAAACCGAATGCTTTTTAATAACGCAAACCAGATTTAATTAATTTAATTTAATTTAATTTATTTATTTATTAAAAATGTGTCTTTTTCACCAATTCTATCCGATCGCGATGATGATGACGATGATGATGATGATGAGAGCATTCCCCCCCCTCCCTCTGTTTTTTTTTTTCCATTTCTTTTTTAGCGGACCGTTTTTCGTCACTCACGCAACATGTATCTAACGTTAGTTTGTGCGAAAGTTGTTTGTTTCAGATGAATCGTCGTCTGCTTGTGTGTTTGTCACCCAACATGGGACGACGCGAGATGTTATGACAACAGTTTAATTTTTTCTTTTTTTTTTTTTTCTTTTTTTTTTTTTCAATTAATTAATTATTTATTTATTTATTTATTTATTTTTGTTTTTAACCTTTTTTAATTTAAAAACATAAAAAGACATTATTAATTATTAAATTTGGAAATCGAAATCATCGTCGTTTGGACCAAAAAAAAATTAATAATAATAATTTTTTTTTTTTTTTTTTTTTTTTCATAAAGTATATAAACATGTTTTAAATTTAAGTTGTTTTTTTTTAAACAATTAATTTAAATTTATCGAGTGACTGATTGATTGATTGATTGATTGATTAATTAATTAAATCTTAAAACATGTTACCTGTGGATTTTTCACCCTTTTTTTTTTAAATATTTTTAAAAAATTTAATTAATTAATTAATTAATTGCGAAATTTGAAGAACTCTTAAGAGAGAACATAAAGAATAAGAAAAGGTGAAGAATCCAAAAGGATTTTTTTTTAATCGAAATCTTTTAATGATTATAAATTTAATTAATTTATTTATTTTTTTATTAATTAATTAATTAATAATTTTTTAAAAATTAAGATTTTTCAGAAAAGAAAGTTAGCCCCGATTTCGACGGTTTTTATATACTTAAAAAATTTTTTTTTTAAATTTTAAATTCACATTAAGACGTTTTTTTTTTAGGTTTTTTTTTCTCTCTTTTTTTTACTTTTATTATTATTATTATTATTATTTTAGCAAATTTTAAATTTAAATTTTATTTAAATGAGAATGATTGATTGATTGATTGATTGATTGTCATTAGCTTGTTTTCAAATCGTGTTAATCTGTTTTTTTTTTTTTTTAAAAAAAAAGATTTTATATATGTAATTTTTCCCCCCTGTCCCCCCGCTCTAACATTTATGTCGATATTTTATTATTATTATTATTATTTTTTATTTATTTATTTTTTTTTTTTGTTTTTAAATTTAAATTTAACGGTTTTCTTTCTTTTTTTCTTTTTTTTTTTTTTTTTTTAACAATTTTTAAAATTTGTTTGTAGGTGGACAATTTTTTTTCAAATTTTTTTTTTTTGAAAAAAAAAAAAAAAAAAAAAGAAATTACTAAGTAAAATAATAATTTAAAAATAAAATAAGATAATAGTAATAATATTTATAAGATAAAGTAAATAAGTAAATAAAAAAATAAAATAAAAAAAAATTGCCGGGGAAAAAAAAATGGATTACAGAAATGGACCGTCGAAGGGAACGGCAGGGATCCGTGGTAAAGACGATGATAAAAAATTATTCGTCGGAGGATTGCCAAAACTTTGCGGTGAAAAAGAACTGAACGAAACATTTTCAAAATTCGGTACCATCGAATCCATAAACATAAAAAAAGATCCCATAACGAAAGTTCCTCGCGGATTTTGTTTCATCGTTTTCAGTGATCCGAACGTCGTGGATCAAATTCTCTCGTCGGGAGACATATGTGTCAATGGTAAAAAAGTCGATCCGAGGAGGGTGACGAAAACGACGCCCCCGGGAAAAATATTCATCGGAGGTTTGACGACGGATTTCACGGAGGAAAAAATAAAAGAACATTTCAGTCAGTACGGTAAAATAACGGATGTACAATGGCCGTTCGACCGGCAAAAAAATCAAAAGAGAGCCTATTGCTTTTTGACTTTCGAAAATCGCGACACGGTCACGGAGCTGTTGAAAACGCCAAAGCAAGAAGTTCTCGGAAAAGAATTGGACGTCAAAAAAGTTAAACTTAATCCGGAAACAATGTGGCAACACGGCGGAGCCATCGGAGCTTATCCGGGAGGAAGAGGACGGGGAGCCTATGCTCCCGCTTACGGAGCCGCATACACGTACCCGGCCTACGGCTACGATTACGCACCCGTCGACTACACGGGCTACGAAGATTACTGCAAGGCCTACGAAACATATTATGACAATTACGACTACGACGCATATCCTCCGGCGTATGCACCGAGGGCGCCGAGGGGAGGTCGCACCGTCGGAGGCTACGCCCGACACGCTCCCTACTGAATGAAAACCTTCTGACAACGTGTCCCCCCACTTTTTTTTTTTTCTCTCCTTTTTCTGTTTCTCTCTCTCTCTCTCTGTCACACACAAACACAGTCTCACACTCATTACCTAAATGGAAAACAAGTGAAAATACTTGTTTTATTATTATTATTATTATTATTATTTATTCAGTCAGTACAACCGTCATTTACGCCTTTCTCTCTCTCTCTCTCTCTCTCTCTCTCTCTCTCTCTCTCTCTTCATATTATCATTTTTCTCTGATCGTTTTCATTATTTTATTTTATTTTTTTTTTGATAAAAGAAACAACACACGTGAAAATGATTGATTGATTGATTGATTGTGAAAATTTAAGCAAAAATTATCTAAGAATTGAGCTGTTTGTTTTTCTCTCTCTCTCTCTTTCTCTCTCTCTTTCCCTCTCTCTTTCTTTCTCTCTCTTTCCATAACATTACAAAAACTAATTAAAGGAAACAATTAATGACATAATTCATTCAAACACATACACAGACACGCGCGTTCGCTCGCGAATATGCAAAAAAAAAGTGTTTGTTTGTTTGTTTGTTCGTTTGTTTGTATACGTACTAAAAAAATTAAAATTTTTTAGTATTGTTTAAAAAAAGAAAGAAAGAAAGAAAGAAAACGATCAGAGCATTATAAATTAAATATTTCAGTGAAATTAAAATCGAATATTATTATTATTATTATTATTTAATATTTTTATAAGTTTTTATATATATATATATACATTTATATGGGTGTTGTTTGTTACTGAAGGAAATAATGCCACCGCCCAAAATCTCTCCAGTAAAAAATTACTACTACTACTACTGCTACTACTGTTACTACTACTACTATCACTACTACTATTACTACTATTATTATTATTATTATGATTTTTTTTTTTTTATGCGTCAGCATTTACATGTAAAAAAAAAAAAAAAAAAAAAAAAAATTTATAAAAAAAAAAAAAAAAAAAAGAATAAAATAAAATTTAAAAAAAAAAAAAAAAAAATTAAAAATAAATTGCATTTACCAAACGCGAATATTTTTTTTGGGTTTGTTTGTTTGTTTGTTTTCAATTTTGTTTTTTTTTTTTTTTTTTGTTATTTAAATTAAGTTTCCCCCCTTTTTTCCCCCTCCCCCCCCCACCCACTTCCCAATGAGTTAAAATTGGGATGATGATGATGAGGGCATTAAAAAAAAAAAATTCTTACCTTTTCAAACATTTCATTACTGTCATGGAATCCCTTGAAATTTGAATAAACCCAATTTTTAGCTAATTCTTTGGCTATGTCGCTCGCTTCCGGAACGTTCATTCTATTCAAACCCTGTATGGCTATGATTTGTAACGGAGGCCAAGCGTTCGGACGATCCCACTGTTGTCCGGTCATTTCCAAAGATGCCGGTAATCCACCTGATGAGAGAAGGAATGATGAAGACAAAAGAATAAGAAGAAGGAATGAAACGAACGGTAATTTTGATTTCATGTTATTAATCTTATAATAATAATAATAATTACCTAAGAAATTAACCATAATGTTTGAATCGTCTAAATATTGTATAACCGAACGTGCGACTTTATTTACAGATTTTTTATCATAGCATTCCGTCCACAAGGGTGCTAAATTCGATGGATAAAAATAATCCCTGGAAGGAAAAAAACAAAGGGATAGGGATGAGAGAAGAGAAGAAGAAATAAAAGTAATAATTGATTACGATGGATTCATCGGATTTCATTCATTCAATCATTCATTCATTCATTCATTCATTCATTGGCTCACCTTCTAATGTTGTTTCTTATATCGTAGTCTAACCAAATGCCTAAATCGGAATGCCATAGCACGGCCGTGACTGCTTCTAACCAATACTCGGCTATTTCGGAATACTGAACGGATTTTTCATAATTTTGTAGGATTTCATAAAACTGGGAGAGTATTTTTGCGTTCCAATAAATGAATGCGTTCAAATCCACGGGTATTATGTACCGGGTGTGAATACTACTTATGTTACCTATGAGAGTACCAACAATTTTTTATTCGTAATTAATTTCTCTTTTTTTTTTTGTTTTTGATGTTTCTTTGAACGTTTTTCTTGTTTTTTTTCAATACCTTGATTTGTTTTATTAGTTATGAACCACCTGCTGCTGAAATCCCAACCAGATTCGGCTGCCGATTTTAAATCCATGTAAAGATCTTCTTTTTCTAACTGAGTGGGTAAAAATGCTGCGCTGTTGTAATCCTCGCTAAAAAAAAAAAAAAAAAAAAAAAAAATGGCGTCATTCGGTATGTAACATTCACATAATACTTTTCTTTTATTTAAATATTCGAAGTAATACCTGTAAGATTCCGGTCTGGGACCACTCGAAGGTGCAAAATACCTTGCTAATTTGTATTTTTTACCCCCTTTGTAAACTTCCACCGTTCTATTCTTGACCCAAAAATTAAATTCTTTTTCTAAAAGGCAAATGTGACTCTGAAGGAAATCAATGTCATTCGTTGCTTCGTAATAACTTAAAACCATGGGTGTCAAAAGCGGCGGTTGAGATCTTTCCAAATAGTATACCTGTCGATTAGAGGATGGGTTATAATGGGTTGAATCTCTCATCTCTCCCCCCCCTTCCAAATAAAAATGTACTTACCCTTCCTCCGTTCGGTACGAAACCATATTGACTAACCATGCTTAGAAAATTGAGTAGTATACCTCTAACGGTTTCGTACATTTCGCTAAGTAAAAGACCCCTCACTATCCAATACGTGTCCCAATAGTAAAATTCGGTAAAACGGCCCCCAGGTATGACGAGTCCATTGGGTACGTAAACGATCGAATATTGATCCGGATTATTTTTTACGTCTACTATCATTTTTCTCCTGTTGACAAAAAAAAAAAAAAAAAAATTTAGCAGAAAGGGAATGGTGGGGGGGAAGCGGGGGGGGGGTTTGGGGGTCTCACGTTAAATTAGTCCATAAGTTATTGAGATCTAAAGCCCATTTTCTATAATTAGGATCAATTATATTATCTACGAATTGCGGATGAGGAGTCCAATCGGGTGGGGTCCAAGCTTCTAATTCGTTACCTGGGGAGAGAGAAAACAAAACAAAAAAAATTGATAAATAATTTTTTTGATGAGCTTTTTCGCGGACATATTTAAATTAAATTAAATATAAACTTGCCATCTTCGAAATAGTCGTTGACAAAATCTTGTAGTTGTTTTCTCGTTGGACGATCTTCCGTTTCCTGCATGAGAACGTTAAATTTTTCCAACGTCACGGCGGGTTTATATTTTAATTTTTTATCGACGAACGTTTTCGAATCGTTGTAAAGTTGAGCCATTTGTATCGTGTGCAAAAGTCTGCCATGACAGTATATTTCGCTGCAAAAAAAAAAAAAAAAAAAAAAGTCAAAACTTATCAAAATTAGGTATTTTTGTTTTCCCATCGATAAAAAATCGAAATTTTTTTTTTTTTTTTTTTTTTTATATATAAAATTCATGAGTTGGGTTACTAATTACTATATTTTATGCTAATATTTCTATTATTTACAAATGAATATTATTCTGACACGATTTTCTCGTTCCCCCCCCCCCTCCCACGTTGAATTCCCATATTCACTAACGTGTAATTAACTTATTGGTTCGGATGTATTGTAATTACGTTACCTGGAACAAGATGGCCGATTTTTATTTGCTTTAAAATCGATCAAAGCTTCTAATAAATTTAAAATTCTTGAATTTTTATTATCATCATTATTATTATTATTATTATTATTGATTTCGCGAAAACATTTCGGGTGTGATTGACAAAGGGTGAAAACCGTTAAAATTCCAAATAACGAAACGAACAAATTCATTTTTTTTCTATCTCTCTCTCTCTCTCTCTCTCTCTCTCTCTCTCTCTCTCTGTTTTCAATAACGAAATTCTTATCGGTCGATCAGCTGTTGATATGAAATCCCTCGTGATAACGATTAATTTATTTAAATTGTTTTATTTAAAAAAAAAAAAACGAATAATTTATTATTAATTCAAAAAACGAAAAAAATTTTCCGAAAGCTTCGAATAGAAAGAAAAAAAAAAAAAAACGTGGAATTAGATTATTACGTGAAACGGTTTCCGGTTGTTTTTGTTATTTTACCCCGAAACTTTTACATTGAAAATCACACTTTTTTTTTTTTTTTTTTTTTTACGATTAATAAATAAATCTGAAAAATTTGCCAAAAAAAAAAAAAAAAAAATCAAACAAATTTTAATTATTATTATTATTAAAAATAAACGCGATTTTTTAAAAACGATTTTCCGGAACGCAATTTGTACGCAAAAACAGACAGACAGTGCCGTTTAATTATCTCTTTATATATCTATATATATTTAAAACGACCGTAAAAAACTAACGTGAAAATTTAATGTCCGAATCTATTTAAAAAGGGAAGAAAGCATGCGTGTTGACAAAATTGTCGTTATCTCGCCCGGTAACAAACGGAAAAAATGGCGAACATGTAGGGAAAATAATGATGATGATTTTATTATTATTATTTTTATTATTATTATTATTAATGTCGTTAAAATCGAAAGATTTTTTTTTTTTTAGATAATTCGTATATAAGTGTACATTTCCTGTCCGTCTGATAACTCGTCATCACGTATTCCAAAAAAACATGCGGGAATAATAATAATAATAATAATAATAATAATAAATATCTGATTTGAATTTTGATTATTCACACACTTCCCCCTTCTCCTATAAAAATAATTTTTTTTAACGTCTGTCGATGACGTAAGTACGAATCGCGGCCTCCAAGATAATATAAAATTTATTTTCCAAATGTGTTTTATTTTTTCCACCGCCTTTTTCGAAAAAAAAAAATAATAATAAAAATTGTATTTGCGTGCGTTTCGAATAATTATTAATTAACGCGTTTGTGATATTTGTTTGTTAAAAACGTTTTTTTTTGCATTTCTCGCAAAAGTTATTATTATTATTATTAAAATTAAATTAAGTTATCATTTATTTAAAATTATTATTATTATTTTTTATCGTAGTAAAGTTTACGTGTGGGTTAAAAATCGTTTGTGATAATTTTGCAAAGAGGGGATGGGGAAAAAAAATGTAAAATAATGGAGGCTTTTGTAAACTCGTTGAACCGAATCCCCCTTCCATTTTTGTCTGCGGCGAGAAAACGCGTTTCGAATAACGATTAAGTAATTTTTTTTTTGTGTTTTTTTTTTTTGGTGTCAGCGTTTTTTTAATAAAAATAAGAAAAAAAAAACTGTTATCGTAATTGTAATTAAGTAAATTTCCGGTACATAATTTCGACCATGTTTTAATTTAACGAATCGTACGTGTTTTTGATGTCGAGCATTGTTAACAAGCTTAACGACAACTGTCAATCGTTTCGCCGCCATATTGAATTTTTTATAAATTCTTTTTTTTATAAAGTAATTATTTACCTGTTGGTAGGAATCGGTACGTTACACTTAGTAGTCGGATCGGATGATGTTAAATGATGATTTTGATGAAAACAAGGTTGAACCTCGGACGATTGATTTCTTTTGAGAATTTTAAATAATTGAAAACAATTCGAACAAGCAACCGCCGTCGGCGTTTTCGTTTTAAGTACAAACATTCCGTCAAATGATGTCACAGGAAAATTCTTATCAATCAATCACTCGGTGAGTTTTTTTTTTTCAATTATTTTAATTTATATATATTTCTCTAAAGAAAACGCGTAATGCTGAATCACCTTAATTTCTTTATTTAAAAAAAAAAAAAAATTCTGAACTTGAATTTCGCGATTCAATAAATGAAGTTAAATTTTTAAAAAAAAAAAACCGTTAAAAAAGAACGCGTCGTCGTTCTTACGTCATTTAAAATAACTTATTTTTATTATTATTATAACGAACAAAATAATTTTTTTTCCAACGCATTCCATAAACACGTTAATATTATTAATAGTACTAAACGTTAATTGACGTTAGCAATCCATTTTTTTTTTTTTTTGATAATTAAATTAATAAATTTTAGTTGCATGATTTAATGTCGTGTTCGAATTGGTTGACGTTACGTACGTGATAAAGCCAAAAAAAAAAACATTTAAATTAATTTTCCATTCCATTTGAAAAAAAAAAAAGTAAATAAATGGAAAATTGGTGGAAGACTTTTAAGATCTCAGTCAAAGGTTAACAGAAAATTACCCCGTCGACAATTAATTAATTATAACTCTTGTAAAAACAACAAACAAACAATTTTTTCAATTTTCCACTAAGTATTATTATTATTATTATCAGGTACTTGCTTTACGTTTTCCGTCGGAAAAACAAAACGAAAAAATGTTTCAATGATATTAAATTAGAGAGAGAGAGAGAGAGGGAGGGAGGAAGAGGGAAAAAACCGTTAGGAAAATTCGTTATTAATTCCGTCGCACGCGAAAAAATTGAATTCGCAATAAGTTATTATTATTATTATTATCGATTGATTAATGACGTCATTAGTCGTTTTATCAGATTTTTTTTTTTTTTTGCGTAAGATGTAAAATGTTTTTTTTTTTTTTTTATAAGAAAATATTACGTACATCTTATCGACACATTATCAATTTCGAATCTTTTTGGCTTTTTTAAATCATTCGTAATAATAATAATAATAATATTCGACATTGTAAACTTTGACCTTGAAATTAAATTAAAAGTAAGAAACGTCGTCAGAGGGCGGTCGAGATTGTTGCGACGTCTATATAATAGTTGTTTGGTCAGGTCATAAAAAAAAAAAAAAAAAAAACGGTTTTGTTGGCAAACTGCCAATTCGGGAACCCGCCCCCCCGTTTCAATTCGTCATTAAAAAAAACGTATGACGTCACGATTTTTAATTAGTGCCACGATCGGCGTGGAATTTGTTACGGCCTTTTAAAAAACCGTTTTTTCTGTTCTATTCTTTTACAAGTATTAATTTTATGATTGTTTTTTTTTTTTTTTTTTTTTTTTTTTTCTATTTAAATTCGAATTGAATTTTAAACGTTTTTTTTTTATTTCGTTTTAATTTTATGAAGGTTTAGCATGCGTTAATGGAAAATATCTTGGGATAATTACGTGTAAAAAAAAAAAAAAAAAAAAAAAAAACAAAAAAAACAAATCGCATAAAATATTTTAAAGATGGCGTCTTTTATTTTTTTATTATAGTCGAAATAAATGTGAAAAACACGGAATCAATGTCACATTAAAAAAAAAAAATAATAATAATAATTTCTCTTATCGTTTTTGAAAACTTTACATTTTTTTTTTTTTTTTTTATTAACAAGGTCAGTTATGTTTTTGTTTTAAATTTTTTTTTATTTTTTATTTTTCCGTTACTGACGTTACGACTTTTAAAATTACTTCCTACATACTTGAGCCAAATTTCTACCGTTTAATAAAATTGCGCAATTTAAAATTGTCATCGATAGGATTTTTCCATTTTCTTTATAATTTTTATCTTTTAAATATTTTTGATTGTTTTTCCCACCCCACCCCACCTCCCTTTTATTAAAACTAAATTCATCTGATTACTGATCACGTGGTAAAAAAAATATGAAATTTTTTTAAAAAAAAAAAAAAAACCTATCAAAGTTTGAGTTGTCAATATAAACCTTATATGTAGTGGTAGTTTTCTTATGATTTCTTTCCCATTTTCTTTTATTATTATTATTAACGTGTTTTACTATTATATGGTACGATGGGGAGGGGAGGGGGGAAACTCTTAAGGAAAAATAATAATAAGAAAAATTTAATTAAATGTAGCAAGCAATTTGTCCATTTTGTCATAAGTTAGCGAATGTCAAATCTCACATTAATAATAATAATAATAATAATAATAATAATAATAATAAAATGTTTGTGTAATTTAATAGAAGGCTAGTAGTATGCCTTAGATTTAAATTTATTTAAATTATAATGATTTGAGAGAATCAATGTAAAACGGTTAAAATTGTGTTGTAATTAAAAAATTTAACTTCATTTATTTTTTTAGAAACAAAAAAAGAAAAAAATTTTTTTTTAACGTTAATTTTTGAATCGTTTTTCATTTTGTCGTGTCCTTCGTTCAATAAAAATTAAATTAAATTCAAAGTTAAAAAATCACGAAATTGGCAAGAGTTTTAACAATAACAACAACAACAACAACAATAACGTGTTACCCTGCATGTTTTTTTTTGTTATTTTATCCTTGCCAACATGATTGTAAAAAATCAAATCAATAAAATAATAATAATAATAATAATAACATTTCGGTTAATTAAATCAAATCAATAAAGAAAGAAATTTAAAGTGATTCAATATACAGAAAATTAATTAACAATCACTATTTACTAAATTTACCACATAAAAACAAAAACATTTCCAGGAATATTATTATTATTATTTTTTTTATTACTTTTTTTTCCACACTTTATAAAATTATTATTAGTATCGGTACGAATTATATTATTATTATTATTATTCCTTTTAAATTCTTATTATCTGTAATAACTTGTTAAATTTTCACAAAAAAAACATTATTATTCTTATATTAATGTTTTATTAGTACTGAAACCAAATGCAAACCGACCATGTTCATCCGTTAAAATTTCACATACTATACAGAGTGAGAGAGAGAGAGACAGAGACCTTTTCGTTTTCGTTACGTCATTAATTGTAGTCTGCTTTCTAATAAATAGTTGTTAAAATTTACGATAGAGAGCAGAGCGGTACGCATTAAATGTTTACAGTATTAATTGAAAACTCAATAATAATTCCTTATTTAAATTTTATTATTATTATTATTATTATTTAATAGGAAATGTTTTAAAATTTTTTAATGGTTGTTTATAAAAATTACACGTGTACAAATAAAAAATATTGTTTCGCATCCGTGTAAGAATAGATTTTAAAATATATAAGATAAATCCATGTAAAAATGGAGTCTCTTGCATTGTATTAAGTAATGATTTTTTTTTTTTTTTTTTTGTTATACAAATACCAAAATGAAATTTGAAAAGTTAAAAATCAGGCCTTTTAAAAAAGTTAATTTAGAAAAAATCAATGACTTTGATTTGTGTATGAAATTAAACACATAATTGTATTATGGAATGATATAATATTTAAAAATAAACATAATAATTATAACATATAACAATTTTGTTATAATAATAATAATAATAATAATAAAGATTAGTTT